ACGGCTGCTTGGACGCTTCCTCTGTCTGCGAAGTGGGAACCTTTGGCAAGTCAGTGCATTGGCCCTGGGACCGTCATCTGTAAGGAGACCATGAAGCCATGGGGACTAACCCAAGGTGACCTCCATGAATGGGCAGAGCGACCACCTTTCCAGCTGGTAATCAGGGCTATGCACCGCAGGCTGGCTGGGGATCCTGGGAGCTGAGGCTGCACGCCTGAATTCTGAGGCTGTGAGACTCTGGGCTAATTGTGGGCTGATGATGGAGCGACTGTGAGGAACACGTAGCCACAACACCTCCATTGGGCACCTCCCATCTGGGTAGTGAAGCTCACATTGTTTTGTGAAAAGTCTCGTCAGAAGAGAGACGGAGGCAGCTGCCCGACTCTGAATAAGCAAACTGCTTGCCAGCTGACCTCAGGAGGCCTTTCGGCATCACGGCGCTTGGAGAAACGGCTCTGCCTTGTGCACAGGCTGCTTCCCACTGTGTCTTCCGGACACGGAGGAGGCTGGTCAGTGCCCTTCCCAAGCTCCGTTCACTGCCTGGCAAAGGGTGCAGCCGCTTCAGCCCAGGGGTGAAATCCAGCAGGTTCTGGAGAACCAGTAGTGGAAATGTTGAGTAGTTTGGAGAACCGGCAAATGCCACCTCTGGCTGGCCCTTAGTGGGGGGGGGGGGGAAATGGGGATTTTGCAGCATCCTCCCCCTGCCACGTCCACCAAGCCACTCTCACAGAACCGGTAGTTATTATTATTTTTTAACCACTGCTTCAGCCCTGTGCCCAGCGTGGCCTCTGCCCCCTTCGCCCAGGAGCAAAAGGTCCCCACGGAGAGCCTTCCTGGGCCACGCAAGTCACCCCTGCCCCACCACTCATTCAGCCCCTGGCCAAGAGCTCTTCCAGAAGATCTCCATTTTGCTCTTCTAAGGAAACCGAGCCTCCTGGACCCTTTCCAGCAGGAAACGCTCCCAAGAACAAACACTTTCTGGATGTATATAAAAAAGGAGCCCTCAGAATCTGAGCAACTGATTCTGCCAGAGACACCCTCCCCCTGGAGTGTCTGCAGCAGCCCCCCACCAACTCTGTTTGCACGGGGGCTGCGGGGGGGTGGGGGGGTCATGGGCCCACAAAGCCCATGAGACTTTGGAGAGTCTGACGAAGAGCTTATTACGATGGCCCAGCCAGCCAGGTGCATTTGGCATTTTTGTCTACCTATCGAGTCTGTCCTGGGACAGGCAGATGTCCAGTTATACGAAAGGTCACGTCGCAGGATGTCAGCTGTTCCAAGCATTATTTCTACTATTATCGGCACGGCTGGATCCACCTCTGGTCCTCCTGTCCTGACGAAGGTGCAGAAGACCAGGGAACTTGGGGCTTCCAGGCGTGTGTGCAGGGGCACCAGGCCCCACGCCTGCTTGTCCACCCACATAAAGCACGCCAGCACCCACATCCCTGCCCCAGGCTCCGTGAGGGCCAGGTGTTGCTTTGGCTGAAGCCTGCAGAGCCTGCCTGGACCCCGTGCAGAAGCGGACGGCCGTCGCCGGCCCCTCCCCTCCTCCTGGCAGCACCTCCTCCAGGAAAAGCCATTCAGCTGGAACAGGGCCAGCCCGGCTGGTATCGGGGCTATTGTGATGTGTCTGGCCCCATTCCAGAACGTGCTTCTTACTCAGAAAGAAGGCGGCTTCCAGAGAAGTCGGGGTGATAATTAAGGAGAAAAGAGACTCGCACGAAAGAGCTGCAGGCTGTGTTCACACAAGCGTTGCCCAACAACGGTTTCGCAGGCAAGCGCATTGCTGGCAGCCTCAGTTTTTAGGGCAGTGTTTCTCGACCTTGGCCACTTGAAGATGTCCGGACTTTAACTCCCAGAATTCCCCAGCCAGCGAATGCTGGCTGGGGAATGCTGGGAGTTGAAGTCCGGACATCTTCAAGTGGCCAAGGTTGAGAAACACTGGTTCAGGGGCTCCTTCTGACAATTGGATCCCCCCTGCCTGCCCCAAACCCCGAGCTCTCCTTCTGCAGGAAGGACGGGGACGAGGGTCCCAACGGCCCAGGCAGGAGCAGGGAAAGCACACCACAAGGAAATGCCCTGGGCACCACGGTTAGGTTTGCCATAGGGTGCCCCTCCTTTGCTGCCGTTCCACATTGCTTGACTCGGGGACAAGAAAAGGCAGATCTTAGCTTGCTGGTTTTTTCTCAGCGCCCATTTCAACAGGTCTGCTTCACTTTTTAAGGAAAAAGCCAGCCCCAAAATGTGCGTATCCCTGAAAGGCCCTTTTTCATCAGACGGTTTGGCCTTTCAGTGCTGCCAAGGATGTGCCCAGATGCAAAGCATGTTTCTCAGGAAGAGAGCAATATTTGGAGAAGCAAAGGCATTCTTTTCCTTAGAACTGAGCTACGCCGTTGGTTCAAAAAATTGGAATTAGTTATGTCTAATTAATTAAAATTAAATCAGACTAATTTCTCCCTCAACTCTAGAGAGCTGTACTGAAGTGGACGTTTCTGTATAAATTCAACTGCGGAGTCCTAATGAAAGGTGTCAAAATGAGCACCTGCTTAAACTGTCTGAATGCGGGGAGATTTGCAGGTCAAGGCTGTCTGAAGGTCCTACTTGCTCTGCCCGGGGACTTTCTGAATAATCAGAGGCCTGGAAGAGGAGGAGGAGGAGGCCCATCCCAGCGCAGGCAGCCTCGACAAGGGGAAACTGAAAGAAGCTGCTGTGGAGAAACAGAAACTGCCACTTGATCTGGGCCCCGAACTGACCGGTTGAGACAGGCCTCTGGCCAGCTCTAAGCTCCTGGGGGGGGGGAGGGGAGACCTCGTGCTGGGTCCCAAAGGCTGCGTGCAGGTGGTGGGAGGGGACCAGGGTTGGGCAGGAGGCCTGGCAGGCCTGGCTCAGGGCCCTTCGTGGCACAGAGGGCAAGAGGAGAAGGTGAGACCCCGGGAGGGAACCCAAGATGGCCTCCCTCGGTCGGGCTCCTCTGCGGAAGGCAATGCACCAATAAAGTGGAGCTCCCACACGGGGCACAGGCGGTAACATTCACCCAGGCAACCTTGTGCCAGCCTCCCTGGCCGGGGATGATGGGCTCTGGGATGCTACCCGCCTGGAGAGAGTCCAGGGAAGCCCTCAGCTACTCGCTCTGGTCGACTCGGGCTGAGCCCAGAGGGCTTCTGGTGCCCAGGCACACCCGGCGTGTGGGGCAGGGCCAGGCAGAAGCCGAGAGAGCAGCCCATTGCAGGGGGCTTGGCAGGAAAAGGAGCCGGGAAGGGCCGTGCCAGGCGGGGGCAATTCCTGGGGGTCATGGAGGGCAACCTGCATGGAAGCCATCCCTGCCCCAAGGGCCCCCTGCGCCTCCATTTACGCACCCAGGTCCCCAGGAGGCTACAGGAATTCTTGGCTTTCCTTCCTTGGCCATTTGCTCTCAGGACGGGACTGGGCAGTTAGTGAAGGAAAGATCCAGGGACCCCTGCGGGGGGGGGCTTTGGGCTGGCTTGCTCACACGGCCCCTGCCCAGAGTTTGTTTGGAGGAGGGGTCACGGCTTCTACAAAAGAAACCCTCCCCCTCACGAGGAGCCTGGGAGAAACCTCTGCAGGTGGGTGGCCATTTGGCCTGGCTCCCCATCCGCTGGCCACAGGGTGAGCTTAGACAGTCACTTTGGGGGGGGGGGGAAACACCTGGCTTCTGAAGCTCCCCCCCATCCCCACTGGCACACCTGCAGATGTGGCTGATGCCTCTTCTGGGCCAAAGGTGGGGCCCTTCGTGACTCTCCCGGATTCTGACTCAGCCGGGACCAGGACAGGGCCCAGATTCCAGCCGTGACTCAGAGGCTATTGGGCGATTTCACGGAAATGCCACGTGCCACGTCATGCCGTGAAAACTCTTCCCCACTTGGAGGGCTGGACTACAATTCCCAACATCCTCAGCTGGGGTGAAAGGCTGGGCCACGGGGAGAGCCAGAGCCCTCCCGCTCAGCAAACCCCCCCCCCCCCCCCGGTCAAAGTTTGCTGTGTCTTTTTGTGAAGCTGCTGATTTCCCAGGAACTTTTTTCAGCCGCTGCTGCTGCCTCGACACGATCAGCTGCTTTCCTGGGAAATCAAGAGTCAGAGGGGGGGGCAGCCGCCTGGGCAGCTGAGCTGGCAGGGATTAAAAAAGCCCTAATTGTTTAAAAAGAAATCGGGGAGAGAGATAATGGAGGGCAAAGGTAACGGCTTTTGTAGCAGCATCAGAAAGGAAACTCTGATTCAACCCAGGATGAATCACAGCCTGTAAGAGGAGGATTATTTAGGCCAGGATTGGGAGGAGGGTCCCCAGCTACTTGGGATGAGGGCAGGGGGGGGGGGTTTACAGGGAGCCATGACAGGGAGGGCCAAGGGCGCTCGGGGGGGGGGGCTCTGCCAGCCACAGACTCCCAGGCAAACCCAGCCGTGGCTCCCCCAAAGCCCCCCTCAAGGGAAGCGAGAAATAAGCCCCCCTCCTCTTCCTGGGGCTTAAGCAGCTGCCCCCCCCCCAGAAGAATGAAGCCCATGAGCTTTTCCAGGTGAAAAACGCACCAGCCACACAATGAGGCCACCCAAATACTGCAACCCTCAAGAAGCTCCAGGTGAGGGGGGGGGAGGGGGGAGGCCTGGTCCCATGAGCTGCTTTCAAGGGCTGTTCGGTGAGGCTGGGGGAGGGGGGGGGCGTACGGCTCAGCCTTGCAGCCTTCCTGGGAGGGAAGCAGGGAGGCGACCCCCCTCCTGGGCGTTGGGAAAGGGAAGACCCAGCGGTGGTCAGCTCAGGGGGCAGAGTGAGGGGCGAGCCCTTCCCCAGACTTTCCCCTGCAGGAGGGGACACGAAGGGGGCAGAAGCCAAAAGGTCCCTCAAAAAAGGCCATTTTCCTGTTTCTGGAGCCAGGAGAGAAGCTACCAGAGTTCCCCCCCCCCCATTCATTCATTTGAATTAGCTGTGGCTGAGATTCTTCTCCCCCCTTCCCCCCCCCACCAAGAAAAATGAAACGAAGGACAGGATCCGTAAGCTAAAATATTTTACATTCCTCTGAAATCCTTTGCACAAAACTCTTTGACGACATTCCTCCGTCTCTTCACCCAGAGAAGCCCCTCCGGGCGCACGCAAGGAAGTCCCCACTCCGTGTCAGTAACGTGTGCGTACAACTTCAAGTTAAAATTATTCCACAGGGAAAACACACAGGTGGCCTATTACATCTGAGGGTGCTGGGAGGAGGAGGGGGCAGCTCAGGGGGGGGGGTCCCCACGGACTGTCCGGCCCTCTAATCAAAGGAAAGAAACCAAGAACAAGGAAACTGCCAAGGGCTGCCAGACCAAATCCAAATCGTGTCCGTGTGTGCACGGTGTGTGTGTGTGTGTGTGTGTGAGATTCATGGGGCAAATCCCCCCGGGGGTCCTTGAGGGGCCTTTTGGGCCAGAGGGAGCCGAGTGTTTGGTGAAGGCCCACCCCAAAGGGCCCTGTAGGGGGCTTTGTTGCAGGGAAACTTTCTGCTGGCAGCAGGTGGGACAGCTCCTTCCGAAACGTCCCCACCCCCTCCAAGTGGGCCCCACGGGCAGCGCCCCACAGCTGCCTCTCATGGACTCCTCCCTTCGAGAAATGCTGGTTTATTGTTTCAGGGAATTGGGGGGCCGGCTCCAGCAATGGGTCCCCCGGCCCTCCGACTCTGCCTGAGCCAAGGACGGCTAGGACTGCTGCTCGGGGTCTGCGGAGGCCTCCGACTCGGCCGGCAGGGACTGGGCAGCGCCCACGGCAAGGATCCTGTCCGCAGCCACGGGGGGCACCAGGGTCAGCGACTCGATGCTCAGGCTGTCCGTGCTGTCCTCGGAGATCAAGGAGATGGTCGGCTGCGGGGCAGGAATCAGGCTGGGCGACCAGGTGGCCGTCTCCGCTTTGCTCCGCGAGGGGTTCTTGCCAGGCTTCGCAGCTGGCGGCAGCGAGCGATCGGCTGCGGACAGGTAACCGGAGGAGGAGGAGGAGGAGGGCAGAGACTGCTCCAGCGTGACCGAGTCATCTGTGGGAGAGGAGAGGAAAGGGCAGTGCCCGTCACGCTCGGAGGGAAGGAGGCCGGGCGCCCTTGATCCGCTTCCCTTGCCCAACACCCTGGAGGGTCTTGCCTGGCAATCTAGGGCAGCCCTGCCAGACCTGGATGAATGTTTGCCAACCCGGGGCTGACTCACCACTCCCTGCCCTTCTCTTTCCCATCTCCCTTCAGGTTTCTCCCTTCATTCCAGGCTTTCTCTGACCTCGGAGCTGTCCTCTTCCTTCCTGGACGCCTCCTGAGAAGGTTTGAACTTTGCCTGGCTTACAAAGTGACCATCAGCGGCCCTGATCCTCTCCTCCCCACCCCCAGCTCAGGTGACACAAAGAGGCATTGGACAGTCCGACTTTGACCTTGAGGCTGTCGAGCATCCTTGCCTTGGCCTCTGTGCCCAAGGGTGCAGGCGTCTCTTTGAAGCAGAGTCTGGGCGGGGGCTTCCTTCTGGAACTCACCCTCAGCAACAGCCACCCCCTCCCCAAAGAACCCCTCACGCTCAGCAGGACCCTTGCTCGGCAGGCCGTGCCCCCGCAGACCCCTCCCTCCGAGAGGGCAGGGGGGATTCTGTTCCAGCAAACCAAAAGCTTCAAAAGGGGCAAAGCAAAGGGAGGGGGGCCAAATCAAGAGAAAAAAGCCAGGAGGAGGCCCAGAGCGCAGAGGGGCAGGCCGGGCAGAAGCCCCACCCTTTCTCGGAGGCTCCCAATCCAGGAAGAGGGGCAGTGGGGAAAAGGACCCTCCGTTATAACCCTCCTGCAGCAGGGAGAGCAGGGGCTGCAGGAAGGGGAAGGGAGCAGCGCAAGGCTTAGGGGCACCTGCTCTGCTCTGCCCAGCCAGGGAAGGATGCACGGCCTCAGCAGGTGGGGAAGGCCGTCTGGAAGCCACCGAGGGGAGGGGGAGCCCAGGAGGTGGAGCTGCTGGGACCTGGAAGCCCCCCCTCCCCCCCACAGGGTCAGCCTTTGCACATGTCCAGCTGGGGAGGGAAGCACACTCTACATTCCGGGGAAGGCTGCTCTCAGCCCCTGCCCAGACCCCTCTGCCTCCCTCTGCCCACGGGCAGCCGCTCTCCAGACAGGGTGGCTCTGCTGCTCCTGGCATCCCTCCTGCCAGGGAACGGGGCCATCTCTGCTGCTGGCACGCCAGCAAGCCTGGCCCTTTACTCATCCACGAAGGCAACCTGGGATCCATCCGGCCGGGAGNCCGGGGAAGGCTGCTCTCAGCCCCTGCCCAGACCCCTCTGCCTCCCTCTGCCCACGGGCAGCCGCTCTCCAGACAGGGTGGCTCTGCTGCTCCTGGCATCCCTCCTGCCAGGGAACGGGGCCATCTCTGCTGCTGGCACGCCAGCAAGCCTGGCCCTTTACTCATCCACGAAGGCAACCTGGGATCCATCCGGCCGGGAGGACTGATCTTACAAAGCCTTCCCCGTAAATGAACCCCGGCCCTTCCGACCGTCACAACGCGTCACCAGGAAAAGACCGAGGACCAGGGTCCCAACAGGCCGGGGCCTTCTTGGCGCCTCCACGGCCGCAGCTGCCCAGCCACGGATTCGGGTGCCAGGAGGAGGGCAGCTTCACCGTTGCTGGGTCAGGCCCTGGGGAGACCGGCAGAAGGAAGCCGGGGGAAGGCCAAAGACCCTCCTCTGGGCTGAGAAATTGGCCGAACGGCTTGGCCAGACGCCTCTGGGCACCCAGGAGCAGCTCCCGAGAGGGAAGGGCAGGCCAGAGGGAAGAGGGGGCTTGCTCTGCCACTCTTCCTTGCTGGGAAGGAGGCCTCCCGAAGGGCCGCTCTTTCGGCAAGCCCCCGGCACCTGAGACTGGGGAGGGGGCCATGCAGGAGAACGGAGGGCTCTTGGCAGGGGCCCTCCCCATGGATCCCCCCCCTACAAGGGGCAAGGAAAATTGGGCTTCCAAAATTAAAAGGTGGGAAGAAAATCACCCTGGGCGGAAAGCAGAAAGCAAATAAGACCACGTAGCCAACACACACTGAAGGGGGGAAACACGGCCAGCCCCCCAAGGTGGAACTTGCAACCAGGAGGAAGCCCCTCCCTCCCTCCCTCCCGCTAACAGAGCCGGTGGCCTCCATCCAGCCACGTTTGACGTTTCCAGGTTCCGCCGTGTTTCCCTCCGAGCAGCTCCTGGGGTTGTGGCAGGAAGAGAGTCTCCAGGGGCTCCCTGGATGTGACCCCCGTGGCTTTCTCAGATCTCACCAGATACCTCCCCCCCCCCGTGCCCCGCAGAGACCCCCTCTGCCCAGAAGGGGAAAGCCGCCTTTCTTTCCAAGGAAAAGGCCCTGTGAAGGGGAGGAAGGCCTTTTGGGGCAGGAGGAGGAGGAGGAGGAGATTAGCAGAGGACCCGGGGGCGAGAGACGCGCGCACGAAAACACATCCGCGGAGACACCTGCCTGAAAGGGCCTTGCCAGGACGGGGGCCACGGCTGCCGGACGGCCTAAACCCAGTGTCCACCGTGACTGTCAGCCTCTGAAAGACTAAGCACTCGGCGGCGTCCTTTCCTGCCCGGCCTGACTAGAGGGAAGCACAGGGAGAGGTCATTGGGCGCCTTTTCCACCACTGGAGCGGGGGGGGGGGGGGGGGGGGGACAGGGGGAAGGAAACAGGAAGCAGCAGACGTTAGAGTGACAACAACACAACCGCCACCGAGGCAGAGACCTGCGTGGCCCAGCAGCCACGTGGCCCGCCTGGAGGACGGGGCCAAGACAAGGCCGGCCTCCCCACTTACAAAGGAAGCAAGCCAGCCCCTTTCCCCAGAGATTTTGGCACGAGCACAATAGGTTACGCAGTGGAGAAATGGATCCTTTCGCACAGCTGGCCTGAAATCCTGCACTGGAGGGCAAAGCGAAACGCTTCCTTTGTTTAAGCCAAAAAGACGACACCGGAAGCAGGATGGAAAAGGGCCGAAGGGAGAAACACGGAATTTAGCAGGCTGAACGGCCTGGAAAGTTATGGGGAGGGAGAGGCAAGAGTGGGAAAAGAGGGGGGGGGGGATGCACTGATGCCTCCTCCTCCTCCTCCGTTTTGTGAGGCCCGAAGCTCTGCCCACGGGGGGCTCCGCTCTGCCTGCTTTCAGGATGCCAAGAACTCTCGACAACGGAGTTGTGTGGTTACACAACCCAGCTGGATTCGCCCTCTGGACGGCCCCAGGGGGCCTGCCGGTGAACGGAAGAGCTTGTAACCCCCCCCCCCCCGGGGGCACTTCCAAAGACGGCTGTCTGTGAATGCTGAGCCCTGGAAGGGGGGGGGGGGGCTTCTTTATGAGACTCCGAGGGCCCCCCTGGCCACCTCTGCTCCCACTCCACACTCAGGGTGCCGTTGGCCAGACATTGTCAGCTAGCAACCCCCAGGGGGAGAGCCTTCTCTGTGGGAGCCCTTCCCTCTGGAATGAGCTGCCCCCGGAGCTTCGTATAATCCCCGACCTCCGGTCCTTCCGACACACCCTAAAAAATTGGCTTTTCCCAGCAAGCCAGCCTGGCCTGAACAAAACAAAGTATTGATCATTGTTAATTTTAATTCAAATTTTTAAAAAAATGTTACTGTTAATCCGAATTGGGTTTGTTTGGGATATTCTATTTAATTCTTGGTTTTTTTGCCCTGAGTCCTTGGGAGAAGGGCTGCATGTAAATCCAATAAACCTGTTAAGCAGCCCCTGCAGGCCCCCCAGCCCTTTCCTTCCCCCCAAGGGGACTGTCCGGAGGCCTCGAGTGGGGAAGCTGCTGCAGGAGGACTTTGCTTCCTCGCCGCCTGGGCCTGGTGCCACCTGTCCTCGGTGGGGAAGAGCCAGGCGGAGACTCGGCCCCTTGGAGCAGCCTTCCTTCTCTGTTCCCCCTTTCTGAGGAAACGGAAGCAGCCCCAGGGGCTTCACAGCCGTTCTCCCCAACGGCCACCTTGGGGGAAGCAAAGGGCTTTGCGGGAGGGGCTGAGATCCCAGCGAAAGCCCTGAAATCCCCTCCTGAGCGTTGCAGCAAAGGACCGGAGGGACTTTCCGGGCTGCCCGAAGGAAAGCTTCCTCTTACAGCCGCCCAGAACTTTCCCTGCAGGGCAATCAGGGTGCAGCCGGAGCAAAATCCCTCCACTGAAAGCCAACAAGAAAGAAAAGCCATCCTCTTGGGCGTTGCCCCAGGCCGACTCCTTCTCCGAGCAGACTACACCTTCCTCCTTTCTAATCCCCTCACCTGAAGACACCTGGGAGGGAGGGGCGTCCAATCACAAAAGCATTTCTCCCCATTTTCACGAAGGGTCTTGCTACTCGGGGGCCCAACCCTTCCCCCCCCCCCAGCCCTGTGCTTGGGCCGAGTCCTGCACCCCCATGTTGGCGCCCTGTGGGGTCCACAAGCCGAGTTCCACATGGGCAGAAGCAGAAGGCCGGCCGTTTGGCCAAAGCCTCCCCTTTTCATGCCCTCCGTCCGCTGGGAGAGCTGCTGCCAGCCTCCCTCTCGCTCCAGGCCACGCTAAAAGGGAGGCTTTTCCTTTCCTGGGAAGGGCGACAGAGCAGCCTTGCTCAACCGTGGCAACTGGAAGGTGGGGGCCCTTCAACTCCCCGAATTCCCCAGCAAAGCAGATGCTGGCCGGGGAATTCTGGGAATTGAAGTCCACCCATCTTCCAGTTGCCATGGTGGAGCAAGGCTGCTTCAGAGAAACGACCGGCATGTGGAAGGCATCCGTGGGCAAGCGTTTGACTTTAGAAGTCTCCCCCCCCCCCCAATTTCCTGTTTGAGACCCCCAGGCCTAAAGTCTCTAAGACAGAGAGGAAGTAAATATGGGGGCGGGGGAGGTTCCCCTGGAATCCTCTTAGGGAGGGTTTAAAGCCATCGACACAGGAAGGCCTGGAGGAGGAGGAGGCTGGGGCAGACGGAGCTTGATAGGGATCTAAGTCTGAGTTTTGCAGGAGGGATTCTGACATGAAGCTCGGCCTGCAGGTTCTCCCCCTCTCCCCAGCCTCAAAGATCAACATCCAGGTGGCCCCATTGCTTTGTCTCCAAAGGACACAATTTTGAAATGTTATTTTCACTCCTTCTCTTGCAGCTGCGGCCTGGAATATATCTACCCCAAAATTAAGAACCTGGCATCGAAAACATCGAGAAGCGGGGAAAAAGAAATGTAGAGGAATCATTTTGAAAGCTTTTTAAAAAGACACATGGGCATCTGCAGCCTTCCTGATCCTCGGGATTAAGCTGGCCTCCACATTCCTGCCAAAGAAGGTGGGAGACGGACAGTGGTGTCCACACATCAGCCTGGGACACGGTGGCTCCGGGGCAGAGAAGCCGAGCCGGCTCCTCGGGGCCCAGACTGGCGGAAAGCTTGGAACCGCCTTCTGGCTCAGGATGACACCTCAAAAGATGTGTGGCCTTCAGTCACGTAGCGAGTTAATTGGTCCAAACTGCAGAGAAGTGTTTCTAAGGAAAAACAACTTGGCAGATGGCTTTTAAATGTGTTATGTTTTCCAGAGCGGCTCCTTCAAGAATGACTGCATTTTGCACAACTCAGCAGCTTCAATAAAGCCTCAAGAGTGAAGTTCAGACAGAGTTTATGAGCCGCCTGCTTGCCCCCAACCCAAGTCGCCTGCGCTAGAAGGCCAGGCGCAGGTACCTGATGGGCTCTGTGCCACGGAGTGGGTGGACGTGGAGCTGGCCACAGCGGAGTCGCAGCACCCGGTGCTCCTGCTGGAGGACGGGGATGACAAGGAAGAGGAAGAAGGGTTGGGCTGGTCGAGACACTGGGCTACGGCAAACCCTGCAAGAGAAGAGGGAAGCAGAATTCACACAACACACACCGACACCCTCATGGTCAAAGGAGACGCTGCAGGGGGGAGAGAAGGGCAGTGTGTGTGTGGGGAGGAAAATGGGGCAGGTCCCGCTGGGCAACTCCGAGGCGCCTTTCCTTCTGTTGCTTCTGAAGAGACGCAAGTGCCGCCAGCGAGGACTCCGACATATGATTGACAGGGGCGTCATTCTGTTTGCATCCCGCCCTTCTCCCAGGGCAATAGCAATAGCAGACTTATATACCGCTTCATAGGGCTCTCAGCCCTCTCTAAGCGGCTTACAGAGTCAGCATATCGCCCCCCAACAACAATCCGGGTCCTCATTTCACCCACCTCGGAAGGATGGAAGGCTGAGTCAACCGGTGAGATTAGAACGGCCGAACTGCAGATAACAGTCAGCTGAAGAGGCCTGCAGTGCTGCACCCTAGTGCCAAGAACTGCTGTCCTCCCCACTTGGGCAACCCAAAGCCCCTGCTGGGGCTGAGCATCCGTGAACGTCCTCCGTGGCCACCACGATTGTTCCACGCCTCCTATGAGGTCACGGAATGAACTTTCTGTAGCTTCTCCAGAAAACTCCCTGGAATCCTCCTCCAGCCCCCGGGCTCTGCTTCTGGAGGAGCTGCCGGGGAAGCCCCCTTCCCCCAAGGGAGCCGTATCCACGTTTCCCTGCAGCCCGGGATCGCTCCTTGCATCCCTCTTCTGGCCGTCCAGAAACCCCACAAGAGGAGGACCACCGAATCAAAACAAACAAAAATCCCCACCAGATGTTGGACTCTGTTTCCCGAGAAGATCGGCTGGCATTTAAAAATAGTTCCTAGCTCTCGTCACTCTAAGCCCAGTTCTAAAAATATGAGGAGGTGGTTATAAAAAGCTAAGCGGCTGCAGAAAGGCTGAGAAGGGCCTGCTGGGCAGAACCGGCTGGGGGTTCGCCTATCCAACATTCATTCCCCTACAGACCCCTTGCCCTCCTCCCTGGTCGGACGCTCCCTCCGAGGCCGCTTGAGAGCAGCTGCCCAGGCTGGCTCTGGAATTCTGGGAGTCCACCCCTCTTAAAAGGGCCTAGGCGGAGAAACATGGCTCCAAGCCCAAACACTCCCTTCCTTCCCCTGGGTCTCTGCCTGAGCCCCCCACTCCTCTCCATCATTCTCACAAATCAAATCCCCCTCCAAACAGGGCGGCCTATCCCTCAACAGCCAAGATGGGGGTGGGGGTCTCTTTAAGACCGTTCTCCAACTGCTGCTAACTAGGGAGGCCAGAGACTCCCCACACCAGCCATACACCAGCTGGCTGGCAGATTTCTCTGGAAAGGGTGGGGGGAGAACATGATGTTCCTTGATTGCCCAAGGCTGTCCCCACTCAAAGGAACATTTACAGAACTTCTTTGCGAGGGGAAGGCTGGGACCGAGTGGGGGAGCTCCGCTCTTAGCACACTGTTTAATCTGCATGAGTGACTCACTTCCAACTTCCTCCAGTTGCCCCCTTTACAGGGACTGAGGGGGAAGCAGGGCCTCCCTCCCTCCGGGAGCCTGGAAAGGCTGATGGGCAATGTGTGTCCCTCTCCCATTTGCAAGGCCCTCCCGGGAACAGGACTTCCGGGAGCCCTCCTCCCGAGCGGCCACCGCAGAGGAGAGGAGCCGCAGCCTCCGAATTGTGCCTCCGTCCCCCTTTGCCTCCCCTCAACAGGACCACACTCGCAAATAACACAGGCTTTACATCACCACAGCTCTATTGGCCTCCGCCCTATAAGTTGAGGGGATGCCCCGGGAGGGCTCCACCTCATCAACGCCACCCAAGTGATGGCAGCTTTGTTTACTGTTCTCCATGGTGACTCTGCCCGTAGGGTGCAATCGACTGCGTGCCAGCCTCTAGCTGGCAACCTCTGTGTGGAGACGCTGGGGGTCTTGCCTTGGAGGCTCGGCAAAGGGGCAGAGTTTATGGGTGCATCATGCCGAATGCTGGATGGAACCAGGCTGAGCTCCTTGAAATCCTTGTGTAACTCATGGAGCTCGTTCCATGTGAAATGCACCACACAAACGATGGACCCTGGCAGGAACCAGGAGAGGAGAAGGGAGCAGGCTTGCTTGGCAAGGCCCAGCCTCCTCCCGGCACCAGCTCTCCGGCTGAATCCCCAGCCATCGGAATGCAGGGCAGAATTTTGAGAACGTGATCCGGTTTAGCTTGCCACCTTCAACTGAAGAGATAAGAAATCTATGAAAAAGATTCTTTTCTGGCATATAAGATGAAAAAAGAGAGAGAAACAAAGAAAATACTACAACTAAGAGACAAACAAGGAGAAATTCAATATGGAAATACCGAAAAGAAAAAAATTATACATGATTACTACGTTAAACTTTATGAACAAGAGAAGGTGGAGGAGGGACGAGTCAAAAAGTATCTACAAGATGCCAATCTCCCCCAGGTACCAGATGAAACTAGAACAATGTTAGAAAGTAAAATAACAATGATGGAGCTAACAGAGGCACTTAA